CCCTCAGCCGCTCTGCATGGGGACCCTCAGCCGCTCTGCATGCGCCTGAGCCACTCTGCATGGGGCCCCTCAGCTATTCTGCATGGGGACCTGAGCCACTCTGCATGGGGACCCTCATCCACTCTGCATGGGGACCTGAGCCGCTCTGCATGGGGACCCCTCAGCCACTCTGCATAGGGACCCTCAGCCGCTCCACATAGGGACCCTCAGCCGCTCTGCATGGGGACCCTCAGCCACTCTGCATGGAGCCCCAAGTTTGTACCCCAGACCATCGGGGAGGCCATGGCAGGACAAGAGCTCAGGCCCGGCCTCCTCCTCACTGACAGAGCAGGGGACTGGGTCAGGCTAGGGCAGGTGGTTGGCGGCCCAGGCTACACACAGGTAGGGAGCAAGAGGAGGACTGGGTCATCCTGGGAGACGCTCTGGGACCAGAGTTCTCAGCAGAGATGCTCCCAAGGCTGAAAAGTTTGGGAAGAGTCCGAGAGTCATGCTGCCCCTGTTCCTGTCTTCACCAACATCCCTCTCGGCGCCTCCACCCTGCGATGAATGTGGCTGTCACCTCTTCCAGGGTAGCTGCACATCCCATGTGCCCGAGGGGACCCAGGGCATGTGTTGGGTGGCAGCTCAGCATCTGAGCTTGGGGCGCTGGCTGGGATCGCAGCAGGCGTGTGGCACAGGACATGCAAACAGTCTTTTTTTATCCCCTCAGGAAAAATACAAAAGATAAAGTCCCATGTCTTTGCTCTTGGTCATCAGACACACAGGGAGTGTGCTGCTTCTCTCTCCACCGTAGTTCGTTTCGTTTGTGGGGCTGGTTTCTTCTCATTCTGGCAATAGATGTTACTTGGTCGAGCCCAGGAAATCGTGGGGACCAGAAACAAGCCAGAACACTGGGGTCAAAATGTCGGGACAAGTCCATGAGATTAAACCACATTAGTCATTGGTTTCACAGTCAATTTAATTTCCTTCCTTCCTTTCTTCCTCTCACTTTTCCTATCTGATGTGGTTGACGGTAGCGTGACTTGGGGCTTTCCCTCCGAGTTTGTGCTTTTGGAGCTCGGGGACAGGTGGGCGCTCGGCAGTCACCGCCCTGTCCTCCCGTGGTGTGGGGCGGGTGTGGGTTTGAGCATTCCAGCTGGGCAGGGCCTGCCTCCGCGAGCACGGCGCCTGGTTCTTTTTATTTCTGCTGAACTGTAAAGAAAAGAACAGTTATGGCAGAACCCAGCTCGAAACATGGGGTCTTCAAGTCCTTGTCTGGAGGACTTGGGGTTCGGTTTCCTCGTGGGAAAAGGTAACGGGGGTCATTTGGTTTGGGGCTCTTGGTGGAACTCAACTCCTGCCAATGCGAGGACCACAGCCTGGGTGATTGGTTCAGAGGTGGGTGTGTGACCCCTGAACACAGAACCATCTATGCCTGAATTTTTTAGTGGAAGCTAAACAATTCCCTTTGCCAATTTGAGTTCAGTAGTTGTCACTTGCCATCAAAAGAGTGATGTCTAAAATGACAAGGAGTAGAAAGACAAAGGAGACTGGGCATCATACGGAGGTTCTGAGGCCAATGCCCTGGGCTAGTGGGCTCCTGCCTCTCGTGTGCTCGCATGTCCATCAGACTCCGGTTACGGAACTTGCTTCAATTCAGATAGAAAGTGGAGGACGCGGATTTCGAACCCAGGCCGGCTGGTTACAAACCTGCAGTCTTCCCTCGCCTAAGCGGCCAAGGTTGCCCGTGACCCCACAGCTGAATCCAGGCTTCCTGTCCCAAGTTGAACACTGTATTCTAGACCAGTGTCTCCCAAACTTGAATGATCAGGCTGGGAATCTTACTAAAATGCAGGTTCTGACTCAGTGGGTCTGGGGTGGGGCCTGAGATTCTGCATTTCTGACACGGCCTCAGTGCTGGAGGCTTCTTATACCTTAGCCATGAAAACCCCTGAGGCTCAGCCACACAGACACTGGCCCAGGTGCCAGGGCCACAGAGCCGAGCCGAGCTCGTGGCCTCTGACTCCTAGGCCCGAGCTCTTTCCCCGTCTGTTCCTATTGATCCGCTCTCCAGGTATGATAGTCAATCCCACTCAGCTGGTAACTGCCGGGGACTAGGTTGCTTTTCTAGAGTGCGAGGCTGGGCTGTGGCCCCCACGTACTTTTAACCCTCCACCGCTGTTCCACAGAGCTGGGCTACACCCTTCCACAGTCCTCACACCAAGCAAGCTGGCTCCCTCCGCTCCATGTGGCGGGGCCTCACCTGTGAAGTTGACAGTCACGGCCACGATGATGATGATGATGCCCATGATGATGAAGGTGATGCTGAGCAGCCGGGCCAGGCGGCCCAGCCTCCGGGCCCCGTCCAGGTCCCCCTGCTGCACGCTACTTCGAGACTGCAGAGAGAGGGCGGCAGAGACCTCAGGGAGGCTGTCCTCGGCAGCCCTGTGGGGGCCCCTTGCCTGGGCCTCCGGAACACACCCGGTCCCCACTGCAGCCCACACTCCAGCATCCCTCCGCAAGGGAGAGAAAGTGGGATCCTCCTGGAGAAGTGGCTTGGACTCGAGTGGCCCAGACCTCTTGTGGGGACCCCTAACTAAGCCTGCCCCTGGCTGGCTGGGGACAACTGGACACAGAACCAAGCAATGCAGGGCATTGTCTCAGGACAGTGACGGGGCAGGGTGGTACAGTGGAGACCGAGGGCCTGAGAGGGTGGACCGGGTCCAGGCCACACTGAGCTGGTGAGAGCAGATAGGCCAGCCTTGGAGGCTCACTGCTGCGGCCGCGCTGAGACCTAAGGCAGCCCCTGGGGCTTTTTCTACGGCCTGACGCTCCTGCCTCCTGTCCTCTGTGAGCCCCCTCTTGCCACAAAAGCAAAAAATCACACTGGTCCTCCCTCCCCCTATTTCCCACCAGAGACCACATCCTCATTCAACCAAACCCACTTCTGAATCGCACCAGAAAGGCGAGGTGTTTTGGGTTTGAACTGGGAAGACTGGGGCTGGGGGGGCGGGGAGCTCTGTGTGGCTTCACAGGGGGCCTGTTTGATATTCGCTCCCTCTCAGGGAGCTCAGTTTTTCTTGGCCCCATTTAATTTGGTGAAATCAGGGTGGGTGAGGGGGGGGATGGACAGAGAGGATCCTGGGGGGGCTCTGTAGGAGATGGGTCCCCAGTGTCTCCATGGAGGCCCTGCCCATGATGGTTCAGGTGTCAACCTGCTGGCCAGGGCTGGCCCGGGACCTCCAGATTCCTCCAGCTCTAGAACTCCCTGATGCATCTTGGACTTCTAGAATGGGCACAGGCAGGAGTCCACTAAAGGACTTTCAAGGCCTCAGGCCGCTTATTTGGTTCTTTTCTTTTCTTTGAGGCTCCTGAGTTCAGCATGGAAACGTAGTCAAGTACTTCGATGATGACGACAATGACGACGGTTCACTGAGCCCTACTTTGTGTCGGGCAGCTTGTGAAGCATGGTACCTAAATTACCTCATTTAGCCTCAGAATCCTCCTACGAGGTTGGCAGTGTTGCCCACCTTTACAGAAGCTGAAGTTCAAAGAAGGGACCCTTCCCTTCTCTGTTCTCCTTATGGGGGTGCCCCCCTCCCTGGGGTCCTGTCCTCTTTACCTCTCAGAATTCTAACCAACCCCCTACCCCCTGGTTCCCTACTCCAAGCCCCTTCCAGGCCAGCGCCACCTACCGGCCACAGCGTGACACCAAACTCTCTTTGCCCCAAACCATGGCTTCCTGCTTCCCAGATCTGCTCCTGGCCTTGTGCTCCTCCTTCCACGTGCTCAAGCCCCGATTATTGGTGACAGCCTGGAGTCCTCCCGCTCGGTCACAAGTCCTCTCCCATCCCACCCTCCTCATCAGTTTCCTCTCCTAGTCAATTCCATTGCAACTCTCCTCTCTAGGTCCCTGGGACCTGCCCTAGTTCCAGGTGCCACTTCTCTCTTAAACTGGGACAACAGCCTCCTGAAGATCCCCCTGGCTCTAAGCTCTCTTCCTCTCCATTCTACTGCCCACACCCCCATTTCACTGCACAGATATTTATGCCAGGCACTGTGCTAGGTCTCCAGGATGCAGCAGTGTGCACAAGAGTCCCAGTTCCTAGGCTCACAGAGCTCACAGCCTGGTGGAGGAGGCTGGCTTCCATCTGATCACACAAATAAATGTAAAATTGCAACAGTGGGTAGTGTTCCAAAGGAGAGGAACCTGGTACTATGAGAGCTTATAAAAGGGGAGAGTTGGTGAAGACTTCTGGGAGGAAGGACATTCGGACTGAGATGTGAAGGATGAGTAAGAATTAAATAGATTTGTTTCCAAAGGAAGATGAGTATTCCAGGCAGAGAGAACAGCATGTGCAAAGGCCCTGAGGGAGGCCCTGCATGGCAAATATGATGTTCAATATATCGTTGTTGTCTGAAGGAAGCAGGAGGGGCTGGACAAAGGCCAGTGCGGCTGGAGCTGAGAGTGAGGAAGAGGAGGTAGGCGGGGCCAGGCCAGGCAGGGCTCTGCCCACACAGGAAGGAGGTTGGTCCTTATCCCAGAAGCAGTGGGAGCCAGTGAAGACGTAAGACTGGGGGCAGGGCAATGGTTTCCAAAAGACCCCTCTGGCTGTAGTGTGGAATCGGAGAAGAGGTGGGGAGTCGAGAGCTGATGCAAAAGTTCAGCGAGATGATGGTGGCTGAGGCAACCATGGCTGCCCAGCGTCTTCCATGGCCCCCACTGCCCGCAGAACAAAGCCCAAACTCAGTTAGCTTTGCATTTCCTCGTTTGACTCTCTACTATTCTCTTCCACAACCTCTGCGCCCAGCCAATCTGACCTGCCCAGAGTATGAGCACTGGCTTTCACATGCCTTTGCTCATGCTACTTCTCCTGCCCACATTCCACCCCCCACAACCTCTCCATCCTTCAAGGGCTGGCTCCAATGCCACCCGCTCCGTGAAGCCCACCAAGATTCCTCCACTTCCACAGGAATAATAATAATCCCTAACATTGTCTGAACAGTCACCTTGTGCCAGGGACTATGTTAGGTGCTTGCCATTCAGTAGAGCATTTCATCCTCCTAATGCTCCTATGAGACAGGGATTGTTATTAGGCCGTTTTACAGATGAGGAGCTGGAGCTGGAACACAGAGCACCATGAATAGCAAGGTCTCATTGCAAGGCTGTTTCCTCCAGCTCCAACTTCCAGGAGAGAATCCTAGCATTTCCCCTCTTGGACTTCCTCTCTGTCTCTCCCCATCATCAAATACAATCAAGTATGAATTCCTGACCTTTCTAATATCCCTCAAGTCCGTCCCTACTCCTCTAGCCCTAACTACACTGCCCTAGCCCACTCCTTCAATCTGTTTCATCTGGAGATTGCATCAGCCTTCTCCTCACTGGTCTCTCTGCTCCAGCCTTGCCCCCATCCAACCTCCTCATAACAGCCAAGGTGAGGTCTTTAAAACCCAAGCCTGGTCACATGACTCCCCATAAAAGGGATATGCCTCGGTGCCTTTGCATGTACTGTGTCTGCACTGGAATGCCTTTCCTCATTACCATATTGCCACCTCAACAGCTCCTCCTCATCCTTCAAGAGTCACCTTCAGTAAAACTTTCTTTGGTTCCCACAAGCAATTAATCAGCCCCTCCTTGGGACTCCCGTAGCATCTTGCCCCACTCTTTTTCTCCCTTACCACTTTGTGTCATTATTTCTTGTGGCTGTGTCAGTCTCTTTCTCTGGACTGTAAGCTCCTTGAAGGCAGGGACCATGCAGCCTCAGTCTTGGTATTCCTCTTATGTAACCTAGGGATAGTCCCTAGTAGGTAGTCAGTAGATATTTGACCAAGCAAAGACTAAAAGAAGAGAGAAAAAGAACGAGAGGAGAGTCTGTTTTCTAATCACTGAACTTAGCCAGTGGAAAGGTCAAAGTTAAAAAAGATTCATGAAAATAGCATATTCATGAAAGAAATAAGGGCAATAGGTCCCACAGGACAGATATCTGGCAACTGGGTTTTGGCCCCACGCACTAGCCATGCCACCTACAGCTCCCTGCATGGCCAGCCCAGGTCACTGAGCTCAAGAGTTCAACACCAAAGCAACATTGGAGGAAGAGGGGACAACATACAGAAAGGTTTCAGGGTCTAGGAAATGTGGCTTTAGAAATTCTGGGGCCACCTTGAGTCAAGGGACTCATTCTCAGATGTAAGCATGGCATGCAGGCAGAAGGGCGCCAGGTTTGAGATGAGTCCTGCCGCCCACTTTCCAGAGAAATAGTTGTGCGCCCAGTAATGATTCAGGACCATGGAGAGATGCGCATGTGTGGTTGCTTGGGTATGAGATGTGGGGGGAGTAGGCAAGAGTGACAGGTAATTTTTTCAGCCACACTAAGCCCAGTCTCTCTTCTTTATCCACAGAGCCATCAGTCCTGTATCCCAGTCATGCACGTTCCTTCAAGCCTGAGAGACACCGTTGAAGGAGATGCACTGGGAATGGCCAGATGGAACAGGGCAGACTTGATTGTGGCTGCTTTGTTGTGTCAGACACTTTATACACAATATCCAATGTACACCTCACAACTATCCTGTAAGTCTTAGTTTTCTGATCTGTACAATGGAGGGAAAATAGCTGTCTCTAAGAGAAGAGCCGTACTTTAGATACAGAAGTTCCTCACTTCTAGCTAGCACTCATTTCTGAAGTCCCCTCATTAGTTACCAAATGAAAGATCCATCCTTTGACTCCAGGGATGGAAGAAGACCCTTCATTTCTTTTTATGAGTAAATTACCAGCAGCTCTCATCCCCACTTAGTGGCATTATCTTCCCCTTATACAAAATGGCTCAAGTTGAAGACATAATAATAGTAATTGCAATGATGTTGTAATGACTATGAATTAATAGATCATTTGTGACTGCAATGGCTGTGGGAATGGTGAAGGGAAAAATGAATTCAGGTTAATAGATCACTGAAAGACATTGAAAAAATTCTGAGAGCGGGTAGGGGGTGGGGACGGGGCGAGGGGGAGGAGGGGGTGGAGAGGATGCTGGGGAGAGCTGCCCGAGGCTGAAACCAGCCAGAGGAAAGTGGCAACAGAACTTCTCAGGAAAGAGCTTCCTCTACCACAAGGCTCAAGCCAAGCCCAGCAGATCTGAGGAGCACTGACAAGACGTACCAGAGCTGATCAGCAACCAGTCCTTCCACGGAGATCAAGCATCTCCCGGCAGGTCAAGGCAAAAGGATGTGCTTCTCCCTGCCCCCTTCACATCCCTCTCTCTGCAACACTGCAATTGTTTCTGGAATGGCCTGACTGCAGGATAACCCTTCAGTTGCCGGGGAGTAGGAAGGCATGGTGAGGGGTCCCGGGAAAGGAGTCAGGGCAGCTGCAACGGTGGATGGGAGGGATTGGGAATGTTTA